TGTGTGTGTGGTGCAACGGCTTGTGAGTTGTATTTGGCCTCTGTCCTTCGGTCGTGTGTGTTCGGTTCCGTATCATGAACACATTCACGCAAGCGCACGCACACATACACGCACATGCGCGTACTCGCACGTTCCCCTCTCTCCCCTCCCCGAACACACTCACGCACACACGCACACGCACACACGCACACACGCACACGCACGACCGCCACCAGTGGCTGGAAGGAGGTGTGGCTGTTTGCTGGGTTCCTTGCTGTCGCTGTGGCCAGCGTGCTGCACTACCACTGCCACGTGCACTTTCAGGATCTTGACCGTGTTGCATCTGCGCTCGCTGCTGCTGTTGGGGACGTTGCTTTCGGCGTGGGAGCGTGCCCTTCTCCCAAAATGACTTGACGCCGTGTGTGTCTGTGTGTCTGTGTCTGTGTGTGTGCGTGTGTGCGTGTGTGTCTGTGTGTGTGTGTGTGTGTCTGTCTGTCTGTCTGTCTGTCTGTCTGTCTGTCTGTGTGCGTGTGTGTGTGTGCGTCTGTCTGCCTGTCTGTCTGTCTGTCTGTCTGTCTGTCTGCCTGTGTCAACCTATGTTTGCCCTTTTGTCTTTTGTGGGGTCTGTCTCCCATTGCTCTGTCTCTCTGCCTCTGTGCCTCTCCGTGTGCACGAGCGCTGGTGATTGTTACCACTCGCTGATACCTAAGTCGAATAAACGATGTGATAGCGCTGGGTCAATGAATTGAATGTGCGTGTGCCATTCCGCATCCAAGACATTGCTGGGTGAATGGTGCCGTTATTCCAGTTCATGGCCTCTTGGGTTTTGTAATGCATGCATCCAGAGCATCCTTTCGTGATGTGACACTACAAAAGCTCCTCTTGACACTTCTATTTTGTTTTGTTTGTTTGTTCTGTTTGTTCTGTTTTGTTTTGCTTTATTTATTTATTTTTGTGTGTGTGTGTGTGTGTGCGCGCGCGCTTGTGTTGCAGCTCTGCTGTTTGCTGTTTGATTGTCTCCGTGCGTGCCAATGGGTACTGCACTGGGTTGGTGTGCACGTACCTGTTGAACAGACGTGAATCAATTACGAACATGCTTCTTGGAAACAGCGGAATTCTGTGCCTGTCCATCATTTTCCTATTATCAGCTCAACGGCTTAATGGCTCTTCTTGTTATCCAGAGACATCACATGGATCACATTGTCATTGGATTTACACTCACAACCTACATACTTTGTCCATTAAGCTTGGTCTCATCACCACCGTGATGCATCAGGCTTTGGGCGACTACCTTGAATGCCGGGGTTGGTTGTCTTCGTGTACTCGACCTCTTCTTGAGTTGTGCTGTGTCATATTTGAGATGTCCGGTTTTTTTTTTTTTTTGTTTGGTTTGGTTTGGTTTGGTAGCTGTTGTTATTGAGGTTGGCTCGCAACGGCGTGCGCCGCAGCCAGACCGCCCATCAGCAGACCAACGCCCGAGCACACACGTGCGCTGCTGAAGCTGCGATCCACGCTGCAACTTGCAATATTAGCCAAACTCGGCTGACATGGAATGACCTCACATCAAAACAAAAAAAAAGTGGAAATGCGGAGACCAACACACCAACACAACAAGCCAAACACAGACATCCGCCTTTACAGCATGTCATCACACCATCCACACCTGCTCATGCGATGTGCATTATTGTTCTTTCCTTCCCCCGTGTTGGCGTCCGACAATCCAACTCAAAACGCCACACAACATATGACAAGGAAAGAACCACTTCCCAACAGCAACACAACAGCAACACAACAGCGACACCGCAACAATCATTCGCTGGTCATGCAACTCCCTTGCCACCCTCTCACCCCATCGCACAAGCACATTCATAAAACCAGTAAACCAGCAAGCAGCACAACTCCCTCCAACATACAATATCCGCACGCTCTTCCTTCGTTGCACAACAGCTGAAGGACAAGAATTGGATGCAGTCCAGTCATTTTCATAACAATCAATACAATCAAGCCAAGCATGCGTGCTCGCACACCCCACGCCACAACCAGAGTAACAACCTAACAACACAGCAATGGCATTCTCACAACACAACATCATCAGGCAGTACGTAACACGTACGCTCTTGCGCGCGCTGCCCCAACTCATGCAGCGCATGCCAATTACTAAGCCACGTGCTGCTTCTCTTCCCAGAGCAGAGCAAGCGGAGAGGTGCAATCAACCATGGCCACATCCACAGGCACGGCACCGCCACCCCACGGGCTCACCACCCCAACGCACATGCCCTCACACGCCGTGACAGCCAGAGTGCCATTCTGCTCCCGAAACACAACCCCTCCCTCGTCCCCCTTCTTCAGCTTCCACATCATCATGGGATCGCCAATCTGGCACTCGGACAAGCGGTGGGGAACAAGGTAGCTCATTTCTGCCATCGCAGCCGCTGGGTTGCTCAGTGCACCACCATGATCGCCATCCATCGTCCACTTGGCCAGCCCATCACACGCCCCAGCCTGCACCTCAGCCGTGCTGCTGTTGTCCACGGCCCGCAAGCACAACCCGCTCGTCGCTGTGGCGAAGAACACACCCTGCGCAGGTGCAGGCGGCGGTAGTGGTGGTGATGGCGACGGCGGTGGGAGGGGTCCAGGCGGCTGCCAGGGCCCCCAGTAGCCATGGTACGGCCCCTTTGCAGCTGCTTTGGCGGCGGGGTCACCCCTGTTATCGCCGGGGGTCTGGTAATATGTGGCGTCGTATGCAGCCGCGCGGGCAAGCAGCTGGCGCAAGAGCTGTGGGCGTTCGCGTGCAAGGTCAACGTGCTCCGTTTCATCCGCCTGCAGGTCAAACACACACCCCGGGTCGCACACGACGCTGGAGTTGCTGCCGTCGTCGGTGGAGTTGGGCATGTGCACGCCCGGGTAGAAACCGTACGGCTGCTTCCCACGCACGAGTTTGTACTGGCCCGAAATGAGAGCTGACGCTGCCACGGGGATACCGCCAGAAAGGGGCACGTCAACCCTGGGTGAGGTGCTGTTAGCGCCCGTGAGCATGGGCCACATGTCGAAGCCGTCGATGGGTGGGAGGTTGCTACGTGCGGCGCGGTGGTCCGTCGGATCCTCGCCAGCAAGCCGCGCCAGCGTGCTGTACCAGTCACATACGTGCATCAGCCCATGCACGTTCGTGCCCACCATATTCTTGGGCACGACGCCACCGGACACAAACGCCACTGCTCGCACACCGCCCTCAAAGTCTGCTGTCTTGGCACCGCGAAACGGGTAGTTGTTGGCGTGGTCGTGCGGGCCCCCGTTGTCTGCACGCATGCACGAAGGGAAGAAGGGTAGGTACTGGTGGTGAGCAAACGAATGCTCATTCGAACTGTCAGGTGAACAGGGTGATGACGCAGACACGCGCACAGGCACGCAAAAGAGGGGGGGGGGGAACAACAGTCAACCAGAGACGACGCAGGGTGATAGAAGAGCTGCAAGACAACAGGGTATGTACTTACACATACATGTACACACGTGTTCACGACAAAAAAAACAACAACAATCTCACACGTACAACACACGCACACGCACACACTTACACACACACGCACACACTTACACACACACGCACACACGCACACACACGCACACACACACACACGCACACACACACACACACACGCATATACACGCACACACACGCACACACACACACACACACACACACACACACACACACACACACACACACACACACGTGCACACACGCACACACACACACACGCACACACATGTGCACACCACAGCAGGGCAACAATCAGTCTATCATCGACACCACAACCACGGCAGCCAACCTGATGAGAAGATGATGAGCGTGTCATCGAAGAGACCAGCGCGACGAAGCGCGAGCGTGACGTTGTTGATGGCCTCATCCACGGCAGATACCATGGCCAGGCAGTGCTTCCGTGGCCGGTAGTCCACGTCAGGATACTTGTCCAGAAACCTGTCTGGGACTTCGAGTGGCGAGTGCACGTTCTGAAACGCCAAGTACAGAAACAGCGGCGTTGTGGGATCATGCGCGTGGATGATCCTCTCTGCCTCACGCGCGTACATGAACGTGCCATAGGTTCCGTTCTCGCCATACGCAGGCTGCGTGTCCCGCCACAAGTCAACGTAGCCCTGCCGGATCTGCGAGTAGTGGTGCTCCGCGCCAGAAAGGTAGCCGAAGCTGCTGTTGAACCCGCGGTGCACTGGCAGGCGGTCCGGTGAGCTCATACCACAGTGCCACTTGCCAACTTGATGCGTGGCGTACCCGGCGCGCTGCAGCACCTCCGCCAACGTCGTCATGTTCTGATCAATGCCGCCGCCAGGTACGGGTGGCGGGCGGTTCTCCTGGTTGACGTGGATCGGCAGTCGCCCAGAGAGCAGCGAGCTCCTGGTCGGAGAGCAATACTTGTAGGTGTAGAAGCGGCGAAGCATGGTTCCGTTGCGTGCCAGCTCATCAATGTGTGGTGTCAGCGGCTCATCGTTTGTGACGCCCGTGTTGGCGTACCCAAGATCGTCCACAAGGAAGTACACAATGTGCGGTGGTGGATGTCTTCTCATCTTGTTCTCCTTACCGCGGAGACCATGAGCCGCAACTTTACTGTCACCAGCATCAGCATGGTTGTCGTGGTGGTCCTGAGGGTGGTGGTTCAGCTGTTTGTCGCCGTTGCCCGCCACACCTGCCGCCCGAATACCCTTGTCCAATCCGGCCATGACACAGACAAGCACCACAACCAACATCGGCCTCACCATCATCATCGTCATCGTTTCTCGCCGTCGAAAATTCACAAACACCACAACGAATTGTCCACAAGCAAACACAAACAAACACGGCTGCGCTCAGTGTGCAAGCAAGAAGCAAGCAAGCAAAAGCAAAGTTGCCACTTTTCTCTTGTTGTTGCTTGTTGCTTTTAGTTAGTGCTTTGTTGCCGATCATCGCTTGCTGGACCTACCACTGCGCACCACACCACACCACACCACACCACACAGCCTGGATCAACACATACGACACACAAGCAAGCAAACAAGCAAGCAAGCAAGCAAGCATGGCTCACCGTGGAGTTGAGGGTGCCTTTGGCGACCTGGCCGAGCGCCGCGCTCGCGTAAGCAGCTTGTGCTCACATGGCACTGGTTGACGGTGTTGATTCGTTACGCACGCACGTTCTCGCTCTCCTGTTGTTGTTTCTGACCCTCTTCATATCAACTCACTCACATGCAAACACACATGCAAACACACATGCAAACACACATGCAAACACATGCAAACACACACACACACACACACACAGGTGGACAGCAAGTATGACAAGGAGCTGGAGAAGATCCACATTGCCTTTATTGAGGCCAACACAGGCGAGAAAATGACAGGCACCTTCCAGGAGTGGCTCAAGTCCGGGGTCGTCCTGTGCAAGTGAGCTTAGTTTCAATTGCTCGATTGATCGTGGCTTGGTGCATCCTACCAGCCACCCTGCTCATCACCGTTGCTTGCCCCTTCACTCATGTGCGTGCAGCTTGATCAACGCCCTGCAGCCGGGATCTGTGAAGAAAATTCACCCTGGATCTATGGCATTCAAGCAGGTGAGGCCGACCTCCACAACTCGCATTCTGACCCCACAATCACAAACACGCAAAGCGACCAGCACAAGCCTTTCTCATCAACTCACTCGCGACACACACACACACACACACACACACACACACACACACTCACGACACACGCGCACACACACACATACACACACAACAAAGATGGAGAACATCTCCAACTTTCTGACGGCGCTGCCGGCCTATGGCGTGCGCCCCGAAGACGTGTTCCGCACCTCTGATCTCTACGAGGGCGTCGACATGACAGCGGTGCGTAACGATCGCGCGCGTGCGTGCGTGTGTGTGTGTGCGTGTGCATGTGCGTGTGGTTCTCTATTCTGGGGGGTCGTACAAGTTCGGTATGGAACGCACATGTATGCACATGCGGTTGCTTGCTTGTCCGTGAAGATGCGGTAATCAATACTGCAATCATCTGACACAAGCGATGTGTGTCTTCCTGCTGCACCTCTACACGCGCGTGTTTGTCTATCTTCGTCATCGCCTCCCCCTTGGCTTCTCAACATGCCCGTCCCTTTTTTTGACTTGTTTGTTTCAGGTTCAACTCTGCCTCGAGAACGTGCGCCGCGTAGCAGACATGAAGAAGAAGGTGTGACAGCCTCATTCAGGCTCCTCCCACAACACACCCACACTACAGCACACGTGCACACACACACACACACACACACACACACACACACACACACACACACACACACACACACACACACAGCTCATGTTCACACTCTCATGCACACGTGAGCACACCTTGTGTGGATCCCTTGTTAAATCACATCACTGCCACTGCTGCTGCTGTCATCTCTGTTTTCAGGGCGTCAAGGTTGAGGCGCAGGCCCCGCAGCGAAACCCGGTGTCGCTTCCAAAAGGCAGCGCCAAGCTCGGTGAAGTGAAGGCCCCCGCCAGGTGAGGCAGTGGGCACGACGGGCGAGGTCGTGGGGTTATGTCAGAAGCTGCAAGGGCTGATTGCCTTGCGTGTGTGTCATGTTCACTCGGTTTCACCCAACCCATCAGCTTACACACAGATACGCACACGTACACAAAACCGCACACACACACACACACACATACAACAGCAGCGGCAGCGGGCCAAAGTATGCTGAAGCGAAGACGGACGACGCGGCGTACGGCGATCTGGCAGAGCGAATGGCGCGCTTGAAGTCAAAGTACAACCCGGAGGTGGAGAAGGAGGTGCGGGCGTGGATTGAGAAGAAGACCGGGGAGAAAGTGGAGGGTGACTTCCAGGCCGCCTTGCGTGATGGTGTCATCCTGTGCAAGCTGGCAAATGCCATCAAGCCTGGTGCGGTTGCCAAGATCAACCAGTCCTCCATGGCCTTCAAGCAGGTACGCTCGTGGATGTGTGTGTATGTGCTGTTGAATGCGCGTGCGCGCGTGAGAGTGGTCCTCTGTTCCATTGCGTACGTGGTTTTATGAACCTCACATACTTGGTTGCCACATACTCATCGCAATCCACACACACACACAAAACACAACACAACACAACACAACACAACACAACACACACACACACACACACTCCCACACACACACACACATACACACACACACATACACACACACATACACACATACAAACAAACAACGGCCAGATGGAGAACATCAGCAACTTTATTGAGTTTGCGCGCGGCGCCGGAATCAGCTCGAGCGATCTCTTCCAAACGGTCGCCCTGTACGAGGGAGAGAACATGACACAGGTCCTCTTGACCCTCGACAACCTCAAGCGCAAGCACCCCTGAACATATCCACCCGCACTCGTTTGCTCCATTGCCTTTGCATGCTGGTCTGGTTGCTTGCGTCCTTGTTTGAGTGCTTGTGGCTGCGCACGCGCGTGCATACGCAAAATGGCGTGTCTCGAAGGACAGCCAGCCAGTAAACCTCGTCTTTTTGTGTTGATTTGATTGCTTTGGTGTAACTTGCATGGCATGTATTGGGGTGCAGAGTGGGTTGCAACCACAGCCACGACAACCGCCACAACAACAACATCATCCATCAACCGACAGCAGCGAACGTACTCGCTCAACATCCATCACCCAAACTTCAAAAAGCTGCAACGTACAACATTATGTGACACCATCAAACCCACCATCAAACCCGACGACAAAGCACCCCCCCCCAACGCACAACAACACAATATCATTCACTGTCGTCACTTGGTTGGAGGCAAAACGAGGGCGCCGGCACAACGCGCAGCGCACCGGAATCGCACCCGAGCACACACACGCCGCCATCAAGCGCCGCCGTGACGCAAGTTGGCAGCGCATTACGCAATCCAGCAGGTTTCCACACTTCAACACTCGGCAGCTGCGATGCCATCCCACCAAGCAAACCACCAGAGCCACCATTACCAGCGCCAGTGGTGGCCGCCTTGCACACCCCGGGCATGTAGTAGAGCTTTGAGCTGCCGTTCACAGCAACAGCGTCGCCACCGGCAAGAACAAGAACATCTGTGGCCGTGTGGTCACCGGTCGGCAGCACAGATGACACATGTCTGTCTGCCACCGTCACCACACTGCACCTGTGCTCCGACGCTACCAGCACGCGACCGCCACCGCAGTCCGCCAAGCAGTGCACGGCCGCCTGCTCTTCACGCGGCGCCCAGCCGCCAACAACCTCGCCCATGCGGGCATCCAGCACGCCCACTCGCCCGCCGTATGTTCCACAGCACAGGTGCTCGCCTCCATGCATCAGCGCAAGCGCTGTCACCGCGTCCCGCTCGTGGGCAAAGCTGTCTGGCAGCACCTTCCACGTGAACGCAAACCCCTTTGCGCGCGGGTCAAACGCAGACACCTCTGCATCGGAGTGACCGACGAAGACGACGCCGTGCATGGGCGCTGGCAGCATCGTGTGCAGCTCCGCCCCCTGCAGAGACACCACTGCCTCCGTGTGACCCGTATGCGGGGACCACATGTGCACCTCCTCAGCGTCGCACGACAGCAGGCGCTCGGCCCACGCCGCGCACACCACGCTGGCAACGGACCGCCGATGGTGTTCGTACACATACACGCACTCGCCGCTCCCGTATGGAAGCCTGTCGCTGTCATCACCGCCTGCAGCAGCAGCGCGACCACTGAGATGGAGGCTGTGCGGCGACGGGGTGGTGGCTGCTGTTGGTGTTGCTGCGACCGACACAGTCGCGGATGATAATGGCGGTGGCGGCCAGTTGTACAGCAGCGATGATCGGGAGGACGTCGATGCGGGCAATGACGACGGCAGCGATGACAGCGACGAAGGTGGAAGCACCATGCGGTCGCTCGCAGCGTCGCCCCACAGCAGGCGGCTGGCGCTGGTACGACGACTCGTGCTGGCACTACGGCCACGCACGTGGGTGCTGCGTGTTTGGGATTGAGGAGAAAATGCTCCACCCCCCTGCGCAGCTCCAAACACATCGCCACCATCTGCACCACCAGTGGCGGTGCTCGTGCTCGCCCATGCCGTTGCTGCTGACGCTGTTGGGTCATGATGTTGCTCATCATGCACATGTCGGTGGTACTGCTGGTGATGAGCGTGGCGATTTGGGGATAGGACAGACCACAGTCGCACTGTCTTGTCCCGACCAGCAGAGGCAACAGCTTCACCCCACGCACCAAACGTGCACAGTGCACGTACGCGGTGTTTGTGCGACGGGCCCTTGAGCGACCGCGCACGCATATCAGCAGGCGCCACCACACCCGCAGGAACAGGGGCGCTGGTGGTGGTGCGTGGCACAACGCCCTCTGCCCGCCACCGCGCGAACGTCATTCCAAACCAGAAGGCCTCGTCCTCCCGTCTCGCCGCCACAGCTGCTGCCGCCTTCTTTGCACTCATCGCCATTCGCCCACCACTGCCACTGCCCAGTCGCCCGCCACCCGCGCTGGCTGCCGTTGTTGTCGTTGTCGGCGTTGCTGTGGCGGTCGTGGTTGGTGGCGACACCATGTCTGCTGGGGGTATTGCTGACGACAACGACGGTGATGATGGTGATGGTGCGATGGGGAAGGCTGCGGGTGTTGGCGAGAATGGTGACGTCTGGGAATTGTGGGCTGCGCTCGCAACCGCCGTTCTTGTCCTCGTTGACGGCGTTGGTGTCGAGGGGCCATCGCTCCCCTGCTGGTGGTGCTGGTGGTGCTGGTGGTGCTGGTGCTGGTGCTGGTGCTGGTGCTGTTGTTGTTGTTGTTGGTGTTGGTCATCGTGCACGGTGGAGACCACGACTGCGTCGTTGTCTTCCGTCACCCGCCACTGCCGGCGCCCCTCCGCAACCATCCTCGGACCCGACACATGACTGCCACTGCTGTCCTGGCCAGTGTTGCTCGCATTAGCAGCGTGCGCTTTTGCCGCCACAGTGCTGTGCGCTGTGGTGTTGTTGTCACCTCTCGCACGTGTGTCGCGCACCGAATTGTTGCTGGCCACTTCCTTGGTGTCGGTTTGCGGCGATCGCGGCGGCGGGAACAGCATGGCCACGGCCTCATCGGCCTCGTCTAGGTGATCATACATGATCTTTTCCAACACGCCGTGGTGCGGGATGGTTGCGCGTAGCTGATGCTGTCCAAGTCTCTGGCACAGCTGCTGGTAGATCCCGGCTGCAAGTTGGGGCGTGCACGCTGTTTGCGGTTGGCGCCGCCGGTGTGTTGCCCGACCGCGCCTCTCCTGGTCGCCACGATCAATGGCCGTGGCGGGTGTGGAGGTGGAGGCAGTGGTGGAGGCAGTGGCGTTTCCATTGCTCGCTGCCGTCACTGTCAGTGCTGTGTTGTCACTTGTGCCGGTTGACGCGTCTTCACCACCATCATCATCACCACCACCATCACCATCGTCATCGCCATCGTCATCATCATCGCCACTGTGCTGCGTATCGCTGTCACGGTGCCCGCCCCTGCGAGACGTGCCCTGCGCAAAGAGGAACGGCTCTAACAGACACTTGACGCTCGGCAGAAGTGTTGCGAGCGCTGTATCGCGCCCGACGGCGTTGCACATGGTCAGGACGAGACGTGCAGCAGCCAGCAGCAATTCGCGCTGCGCTTCCACCTCACTCGACAATTGTTGTTGTTGTTGTTGTTGTTGTTGTTGTTGTTGTTGTTCCTGCTGCTCACTCTGGCCATCGCTGTCAGTACCGGGCGTGCCTGCTGCCCGCGGTTCCTCGTCTTCTTGCTGTTCTTCTTCGCCTTCTTCAGTCACGGCATCTCCGTGCATTCGTGTCGTTGCATCGACCTGCGACAGCTCTCTTGTCATGCGGTCCTCAATCAGAAGGGCGTGTGTCGTTGCCATTGCCGGCTGCAGCAGCGACTCGTGCACGCGTCGGCAGTATGAAGCGGTGAGAAGGGAGGGCTGCACACACACGGACATGTGCACAGCACTGATGGCAGCCGCCCACACTTGCTGCGATTTGCTCTGTGAAAACATGTATGCGTGTGTGTGCGCGCGTGAGTGGGGGGAAGTATTGATGTCGTGCAACGATGCGTGTTGTGTCCAAGATGCGAGTGAAACAAAGTTGAGCTTGGATACGAGGCTAAATTGATGGTGGACATGGGAAGGCAACGACAAACTCATATGCAACGGGCACACACAGATGGCACACACACGTGCACATACCCACACCTCTGCTGCTAGTTGTGCAATGAGAGAAGTCAGCCACTCCGAGACGTGGCGGCCACCAGTCGCCAGGAACACCGCCAGCACCTGATGAAGGCGTAGCGCGGCAGTCATTGCAGAAGGATGCGAAATGCAGTGAGCTGGAAGGCAGCAGTTGGTCCCATATATTGCAGCCACCACGCCAGCACACACACACACACACACACACACACACACACACACACACACACACACACACACACACACACACACACACACACACACACACACACACACGATCACCGCCCACTCACCTCAAACAGCGTGTCAAGGCACTCCTCTGCCACGTGCATGTGCGCGTGTGCACATCCGGCGATGAAGACGAGGGTGAAGCGAGCGAGGTCCGGTTTGGGATGGCGAGACACAACAGCGGTGATGGCATGGCACACGAGCGGCAGTCCGCGCGGTGGGAGGTGGCGCATTGCCTGGGTTTGTCTGTGTCGGAGGTGTTGTTGGGTGATGGAAGGGAGGGGGGAGGATGGGTGGCAGTAGAAGCAAGTGGACACATGCACCCGTGCGCACGTCGACGAATGCACACCCACACTCACACACTCACACACCCACAGACCCACAGACCCACACCCACACACACACACCCACACCCACCCACACACACCCATACCCACCCACCCACACCCACACATGCACACACACACACACCCACGCGTGCGCGCATACCTACCGCAAGACAATTTGCTCTGGATGGTCGCTGGTGATGGCAACATGCAGCGGCTTGATGACGGCGAGCGTCTGCGCCACCCAATCAGGAAGGCGGACAAGAGGAAAAGCGGAGACACGATCCAAAAACCGGACAGCAGGGACGAATTCTGCACCAACAAGCACGCGCTCAACCACTGTATTAACGCCAGGCAATGAGCAGGAGGTAGTCGGGTTAGCAAGACTGGTAACGTGCGCATTCCTGTGGTTGAGTGTTGAGTGTTGTGGTGTTGCGTGCTGTGTTCGTACGCATAAGTTTGTACGCATATGCGTACGTTCATATGTGTGCATGTGCTGGCGTAACGCCACAAAGCGGGAGGGGGGGGGGTTGACGTTTGGTGAAAGCGAACGTACAATGTCGAAGCGAAGGGGTAATTTCACCGAGACATTTCTTGGCCTCCTGCAATCAGACAGGACAAACAGGAGCGAGGACATAACGGGCACCGCGACATCTGACGTGAGCGTTGTCTTTCCTTCGACTGGTGGTCAGGGTGGGGACAACAATGCCGGATGGAGTGTGCACAGAATGATACACACACACACACACACACACACACACACACACACAC